GTAAGCCTAAGACTGCTATGGATACGAATGAAAGTGGGCTTAAAGAAGTTGTTTGAGAGCAGTTTTGGGAAATGGTAAGGATGGTGTTAATGAAGTGTAAGGGAAATGAAAATATTATTATGCTTGGAGATTTTAATGGAAGGGTTGGGGTGACGAGGCTTGGTTATGAAAGGATATTGGCAACGTTTGGTGATGAAAGTATAAATGAGAATGGTGAAAGTCTTCTCACTGTATGTATGGAAAATAATCTTTTTGTGACGAACACTTGCTTCCGCCCCAAGAGGATTCATATGTATACTTGGGAAAGAGGTGACGATAGAAGCATGATAGATTTCATAATTGTGGATGTAAGATTGAGGGGCGCAGTGGTGGATACAAGGGTTTACCGGGGTTCTAACGTAGGAACGGATCATTATTTGGTTTTATGCCGAATTAATTTTTGTTTTTTGCAAAATTTTTTTTTACAAAATTGGACAGTTGTTTGCAAAATTTGAAAGTTGAAGAATGCCGATTAAGAATGGGTGAGTTCACCGTCAAATGCCTTTTGTACGCCGATGATCAAGTCATTCTTGCGTCGTCGGCGGCCGAGTTGCAAATGATGGTTACATTAATGAACGGATCATTAAAAGAAAGGGGTATGAAAGTGAACGCAAGTAAGACGAAGGTTATGGTTTTTGAAAGAGAAGAAAGTAAAACGATTTGTGAAATAAGAATAGAAGGGGAGTTGATCGAGCAAGTAGATGAGTTTGTATATTTGGGCTGCGTATTTAGCAGGGATGGGAGATATGATAAGGATATAGAACGACGAGTGAATGCGGGAAGTAGAGTAAATGGGGCCTTGCACTCTATTGTGAAGAGTCAAAATGTGTCGAAAAAGGCACATATGGCAATTCACAATGCTGTGTTGGTTCCTACTTTAACGTATGGTAGTGAAAGTTGGGTGTGGCAGAAGAAGTACGAGAGTAGAATAAACGCAGTAGAAATGCGGTCGTTAAGGAGTATGTTAGGGCTGAATCTGAATGACAGGGTAAGAAATTGTGTAATAAGAGAAGAGTGTGGTTTGCAAGATGATGTTGTGACCAGGATTAAGAAAGGAATGCTTCGGTGGTTTGGTCATGTGGAAAGAATGAATGAGGAAAGAGTGACAAAGAAAATTTATGTTGCAGAAGTGAATGGCAGAGTCGGAAAGGGACGTCCTAGGCGAAAATTTATCGACCAAATTGGCGATTTATTGGAAACGGGCCAAATTAGGAGTACCCTTAACCGACGAGCATGTATGCGTAGGTGTATGGATGTGAAGGAGGCGAGAGAGGTGTGTCAGGATTGTGCCAAATGGAAATCTGTAGTCTCTTGCTACCCCTTTGGGTGACAGGCGTGAGTGTTTATGTTATGTTTTATGTTTTAATTACAATTTCCAAATCAACTTTTTCTCATCATTCATAATTTAAATGAAAAATACAACATGAACTCAACTTGTAAATTTATTTCAAGCTATTTTGAGTCTTAATTTGTTTCCATTTACTTCCATTCATTTGCATTTAAAAAAATTTAAAGTAATTTTAAACACTGTTTTTTTTGTTATGTTTTTAACATTTTAAGCAATATTTATAAACTGTGTTTTTAAACAATTAATAAAAACAAAGTTTTATTTCAAAATATTTTAAAACCTGTTTTAAACAACTTGTTTTAGTTATGCCAACCCTAGCAATGGGCCAGCCATATCTCAAGGAACCGACAATGGATGAGGGGGAAAGCTTATCAAATGGTAACCTCACGCTAGTAAGCGAAATGTAGGTTATTCCAACCCCCCCAGCAGATGGAGTGATGACCTGGTAAGAAATGGGAGAAGTTGATGGATGCAGGTCGCTCAGGACAGTCTTTTGTGGCATTCCTTGGTCGGCCTATGTTCAGTAGGGGACTTGTAATGATGATATACACTTTTACACTGAAGTGCTTACATAAGTACTCATCCTCTTAGGCATATAATATTCACTAATGTGAAATCTGCAGTCACTGTAATTTAGTTGTAATTCCTCTAATTGTATACCATAATGTCCATGTCTTGATGTGTGATTGTAGCTCTATCTATGTGGAGACCTTAAAAAGATGTGGTAAAAGCTAGCTATGCCACTCCATGCAATGTCTAATACTCTATGGTATAAGCAACTGTCCTGGTGTGAAGTATCGCCATATCTTTGCAAAGTATTAATTATCACTTTCACTACTAAACACAATTACCTGCATTTTAAATACAATATCAGTAGTCCGCCTCTGACGCGCAAGGAGATTGTTAAGGTTTTGATTGTATATTTCGACTCAAAATTTTCGTTTCGTCCACATTATAAGTTCATAACCCAAAAAAGTTTCAAAACCTTAGGGTTTATAATTTGTGTAATGCAAAATTTCTCCAAACCTCTCGCTTCATTTTGATTATTTTATGCTTTAGTTCATTCTGTACTGGAGTATAATTCCACTGTATGGTCACCCTTTTATAAGGTACATTCTGACAGTATTGAGAGGGTGCAGAGTTGTTTCCTTCGCAGTGTTTGCGGTAGATATAGTCACTTGCGTCGTCTACCATCATACGACTATCGACTAAAGTTTTTTAATGTCCAGCGATTATCTTTGAGGAGACAATTTGCCGACCAAGTTTTTTTGCACAAGATTGTGCATTCTTGAATAGAGCCCAGAGTTACTAAGGCTGATTAACTTCAATTCCAGTATACAACAACGTGTTCAAAGAATTTTCAGGTTAGACATACACAAGAATAACACTTCCTTTTTCAACCCTGTTGTCAAATTGTGCCGTGATTACGACGAGATTAAGCGTAGTAACCAACATATAGATAGATATATTCGGTAGTAGCCTGGTTAGATTTGAAAGATTTTACGTGTTTACGCTCTTAACATTTAATGTATTTTTTATCTGTTTTAATTTTGATAAGACTAATATTATACTGCAGTTATATTATTATGCTGTGTACACTTTTTGGATTTTAGTTTAGATCAACACAAATATACTTTAAATTTTAGACCTTTATATAACTACTGTCTGTTTGTGTACCTAATTCATTAAAAAAAAAATAAAGTATCTCACTCACAAATCTCTTTATATTGTATGTGATGATAGTCCTCTGTTACTTTGCAGGCTGCACCTATCATATAATTTTTTGTTAAAAATGTATTTTTTTTTTTGGTAACCACACTCAACATATACTTCAGTCTCACTGAATATTAGCACGACACAGCAAAATAATGCTGCTGTTTCACATAATGAGGAAAAGTTTTTTTATTTAAAACTGTTACTGTTGCGTGGCCTCTCTCAAAAACCAAACTACATAGGTTTTCAAAATTTCTGAATATTATGTACCATCACGAACATAAAAAGTGTACTATACTAACGGCCTTACTAATAAAGATTTACACACGACGTATACCAGAGTTATAACGTTAACATTACCAATAAACGACATTTGACAGTTCAGTTGTATACATCTGTTATAACGAGTGTTTAAATTGTATGGGAAATTACGCAACCGTTATACAGTTCTCAACCTTTGTTTAAGACGTGTATAACCTCTATTTGACGTGTGGCGTTTTTGAAAATAATGGATTATTTACAATATTTCGATATTTTTGATGAAATCGAACCAAGAAAAAGAAAACTTTACAAAAAACGTTTCGATCCCTTTACTCTACAAGATAAAGAATTTCGAATGAAATATAGATTCAGTAAAGTATATATGAGAAAAATAGTTGACTTAGTTCAATGTGACATCGAACTACAAGCTAGTGGTGGCAGGCTGTCTGTAGAACTTCAGGTAGTACTGCTCTCAGAATGTGGGCTAGGCAAGAAGTTCAAGGTGATGCAGCAGACATTCATGGACTTAGCCAACAGTCCATCACGAATATATGCCGAAGAGTAGCTCTTGCTTTGGCAAGTAAAGCGGCTGAATTTATACGCATGCCTACTACTTTAGAAGAGCAAGAACAAGTGGTTTCTGGATTTAGGAACATTTGTGGCTTTAAGCAAGCAATTGGTGCTATTGATTGCACACACATAAAGATTAAAAAAGTCGGAGGCGATAGTGCTCAATATTATATAAACAGAAAGGGGTTTTCATCCTTAAATGTCCAAGTAGTTTGTGATGCCCAATTAAAGATAAGGGACATAGTGGCACACTGGAGGGGCAGCACACATGATGCAAGAATATTTAGAGAAAGCCGAATCCGACAACGATTTGAAAATGGGGAATTTCATGCTCATTTACTAGGAGATTCTGGCTACGGTTTAACAAATTATTTGTTTACACCAGTCCAGAATCCTCGTATCGCTAAGGAGGAATCTTACAATAAATCACATATATTGACAAGAAATACAATTGAAAGGTGTTTCGGAGTTTGGAAACAGAGATTCCGATGTTTATTACTTGGATTTAATGTGTCACTGGAAAATGCAGAATTATACATTGTTGCGCTTGCAATATTACACAATATTGCCATTGAAATGAATGAAGGCATTGATTTTCTTGAACAAGTCATATCTGAAGATAATGGTGACCAACAAATGCTAAGGGAAGGTCTCGATAGCCAATCTGGTCAAGAAACAAGGAGATTATTCATTGAAACACACTTTTAGTTACAAAAATGTTTTGTTAATAAATAAAATAAAAAATAAATAAAATCAATTTATTTCAGAGTCCATATATGTGACATACATTATAATAAATTTAATTTAATCCTATTCAATTTAACTTAATTTGATTGTTTAACATAAAAAAGGTAAAAGATATTTTATTTTGGCAATTTTCATTTTAAAAGTAAAATTTCTAATTTAAGTTTTTCAACATAAAGCTGCGTTTCTTCTTTTTCCAATAATATTTTTTGGATTTTTAAATTATGTTCCTCTTTAATAAAACTAGGAGCTTCCATCATATTTTTCATTTTTAAATCATGTTCTTCCTTTACGCAACTGACAAGAACATGATTGCGCTCTCTGGTTAAGTCTCTATCCTGTAATAAACATGTTATTATTAATCACTAATCCCATAATTTAGTTATACTTAAACTACTAATTAAAATTAAATTAAATTTTACCTCACGTTTGTGTGTATATTATCATTCATACAATTGAATGATAATTTCCGTTTCATTCTATCTTTTTCATTTTGCATCTTGAAAGGTAGTGGTGTAATATTCTGGAATATTAACAAAAGTGCTTCAGAATTTAAAAGATACTAATCAAAGTAAATTCAATCAACAAATTTAAACTAACAAACCTCTTGCACATTATCATTATTATCTCCTGGAGTGATAACATACTCTTGTGTTATTGTATTAACCGAGGACTTCTCCTGACTTTGAACCTCTGGATGCTAAAATAAAATAGAATATCACACACTGATGTCATAATCGTAAGATATAACATACTCATTCTGATACTAAATATTGTGTTAGTGCTAAGACAAAATAATTACAAAAATATAGTATGAGCTCACTGTTATGGTGTCACTGTCAAAGACATTGAAATCCGTCTCAAATTCCTGTGGAATCATGCTCAAAATGTCAATGGTTTCCGGGTCGGGGCTAAGAGGTTTAGGGCCTCCACCAGTACATTTGATAGATGTCTTTACTTGTGACATGTTTTTTTGGCATCAAGTTTCATTGTGCGCCACTGTTGCTTTACTTCAGCCAATTCTCTTACCCGGCTATTCAATTCACTAAAACTGAAAATGTTTCAGTCACAATATGCATAGTTTAATGTATACAATATTAATAAAACTAACACAAAATTAACATAAATATTTAAATATATATTTACACTAAAATTAAAACATACTCATTTAAAAAAATTAAATTAAAATATCTTACATATACTATATAATTAACAACTTATCACATTATACCTTACAAATATCTTAACACATCTAGTTGGTTAACTAACACTTTATTGTATTGGGGTTATTGTACTGGGAGTTTGACTGCACTTTGATTTTGGATGTACATATTAGTAAGCGCCTATGAAATATTCTTACACTACCATCAGCTTTTTTTAGTATTTTGTACAAGATTTTATATTCATATTTATACTTAACATAAGTCCACAGATAGTTTATGCCTACTCAAAGCACATGTTACTTTCTTTTGTTTCTCAGTGAGTGTATATTCTTTTTTAAATTTAATTTCTTAAACTACAACTTGTATACAATAAATATGAAACAAAATTCATAAAATATAGTATTTTACTAACCTTTTCATCACTTTCTGCCAAGCAATGGTCTTACTTTTATTAGTATTTAAATCAGTGTTTTTATTATCTATGACGGATACAAACTCCTTCATACAACTTTTTAATAAACTCTGAAAGATAATATACAAAGTTAGATTACAAATTGTGACCATATAAACAGTAGTATTTAAGAAACAGTATATAGTTTTAAATGTTTTTTCTAGTAAATTATCTTACCTTTTCTAGTGCATCCCAATTTGCAGACCGTTTTCTTTTGACAAAGTTTAAATTACTATTAGCCATTATTACAGAATTTGCGATGTTTTTAACAATATAGTAGCTATTAACGAATTATTAAACCCAAACAACAAAATTGACGAATGACGATTGAATTGGAAACTGTCTGAAAGGTACGTTCATAAACTTATGAGGATAATAAATATGGCTTTGTCAAAATAATGTTCAGTTTTTATCGCCTAAAACATTAGATTATTTCTAAATTCAATTAAACAATGTTTTGGGCTAAATTTATGTGTCATTAATTAAAAAAAGAGAATTTATAAGCTATTTATGTGTTTTCGAAATGTCTCTACAATTTTACAATTGAGTTTCAAAACGTTTTTGATGAATGTTGCCAATGGTTTTTGTTTTACACCCGTTATTGGTAAAGAGCGTGTGTAACTCTTACCCAAAGCTTATACAATGTATAAGTACACACTTGTTTAAACACTACCCAAACAATTAAAGCGCTTCTACACGGTCGGGACCAACCACCAACCGTCGTGACCTTGGTCGGGTCAACCGATTTTTGTATTCGTTCTACACGGTCGGGTGGTTGACACAACTTAACAACGTTGTCACTGGTATTTAAAGAGTAAAGACGTAAGGTAGTTACTTTTAAAAATGGCTCCTTGCTTTTCTATACAACAAAAAATCGGTTTGGCTTTAACGTTTCTATGCTTGAATGAAGATGAAAAAAAAATGGATAAAATTGTGGCTGAAAGAGCGCATTACTTTAAACAAACATGACATGGTACTTTAAGACATGGTAAATCACAATTCAGTGACAAGAATTCGGTCAGGACCTCACGTTCTTCGCTTCTGTTTGTATCCATAGTGCCGTTAAACTTCCGCCTGCGACGACTGCTAAGCGCGCACCGCGCACTGAGGCTCTCTATTCGGCCGACAGCGTTCCACACGGTCGGCGTCAACCACGGACCCAACGTGTCGTGAGGGATGCGCTCGCGACCAAGGCCGTCGGACTCAACCAAAATATTGGTCAGACAACCGATGTCTACACTGTCCATTTTTACATGAACTCGACCAAGGTCATGACGGTTGGTGGTTGGTCCCGACCGTGTAGAAGGCCTATTAGGCGCATGACAGGAATGCGGTTACCGCGCCCTGTACCCCGCACCTCGTCCCGCACGTCCCATAGTGACGCGCAATAATTACTTTCTGCGGTACAGTGTTGCCGTCGTTTCGTTACTAGGTTACTAATATTGAAGAAGAATCAAGATTTAAGTTATGAGTTATGAACAGATTCATAGAACTTGAGAAACTAGAATATACAGTAAAAAAATTTTCACCACGTCTGACAAATAATAAGGGTAGTTTTAGAAATTGATGTGTAACAATAATTAATTAGTTCGATGATATAATAATAATTAGTTATAAAAATAAACTAGAAACCGGTTTTGTGTAAAGTGACCTAGGTTAGCTTCTATCTTCATGGTAGAAACCTCACTTATATGAAGGCGGGATCAGATGTTGTGACGTCACACGGGCTTTTAGGCCGCCCCGCGGTAGTCGTTTATAAAACAACACAATGAATGTACCGATTTCAATGATTCAAAAAGTATGTTGCTCGTATGAGTGTAAGGAACAACATTATATAGGTTTTGAATGGATTTTCTGACTTATGCCTGATCCTCTTTCGCGTACCTTTTTAACATGACATGCGTATTGGAATCCAAATTTCATATTATTTGAACTTAAAAAATAACGAGAATAGAAGGGGCATTAGTTAGTTAGACTTGAAGTTGAAAGTGAACCGCAACCGAGTACTTCAAGCGAAGCCCCAACAGAGTCAGTAAAACTGTCTACTCCAGGAAAAAGCGAATACAAAAGAAAAAGTTGGAGATTGATGACTTCATGATTTGTGATCAAAACCAAAATTGAATCCTTTTATACCGTTCACAAAGAAGTGCCAACATTGAAAAAACTATTAGTGGCTGTCAAAAGAGACCTTAATTTTCCTGGTCAACGGGAGACTCTACGAAAAATTTTGACTGAACAGTTAGGCTTCCGATTTAAGAAATGTGCCGGTAAGCGAGATGTATTAATCGAAAGACCAGAAATAGCAGTGTGGCTGTGTGGCGTGCTCGCTATTTACGGCGGTTAAAAGAAAATGATGATTTGGGTACAGACAAAAAACCAGTTATTTTCACAGATGAAACCTGGATACACTCGCATTATACTGTAAATATGTGCTGGCAAAGTCAAACTGTCCCAGGCCTAAGAAAAAACGCTACTGCAGGCCAGCGCTGGATAGTAGTTCACGCAGGTATGAACAACTTTCCTTGTTTTTATTTCGTTTTTAGTACCTATTGTTTTCTTACTTTTCTTAGTACTGATTATCACCTATCACTTTTCGATTGCGATAAAGATAAAAAATATTCCTGAGGTGTGAGCTATTATTGACTTTATATTAAACAAAAATCTCTCAGCAGGAATATTGTTTATCTAATCGTCGTGTCAGCAGCAAGACGTCCACTGCTGGACATAGGCCTCCCCCAAAGATTAACGGTCTTGCGTAGCCCGCATCCAGCAGTTTATGTAATATAATATTATAAATGTCAACGTCAATTTGATTGTTTTTGTGTCCTGCTATCACTACAAAGACATTGCATAATATTATGACACATACATCAACAGACATAGCAGAGGAAATATAATGTGTAATAAGTTGTAATTTTTTATTTTAGGAGGAGAGATTGGGTTTGTCGAAGGTGCACATTTGTTATATAAATGCAAAAGCTCAAAAGGAGATTATCATGATGAGATGGACAGCAATAACTACATAAAATGGTTAAGTGAAAAATTGATCCCAAGTTTGCCACCCAACAGCATTGTAGTTATTGAAAATGCTCCATATCATAGCAAACAATTAAATAAGCCTCCCTCAATGGCGTCTCGCAAGGAAGAAATGCAAAACTGGTTGACTTCAAAAAATATTGCGTTCGATGCCCGCATGACAAAGCCAGAGTTGTATTACTTGATAATTCGAAACAGGCCAGAAAAAGAATATTTAGTAGACAAACTTTTGAGGGAAAGCGGCCACGAAGTTCTCAGACTGCCGCCGTACCAGTGTGATCTAAACCCTTTTGAGTATATTTAGAACATAATGAAACAAAGGATCGCCGACAAAAATGTGGAACAGTCAGAAAGGCTTATCGAATCTTTAACCAGGGAGGCCATACAGTCAATTACGCAAACTGATTGGAAAAAGCAAATTAACCATGTAGACCGGTTACGGCAGAAGTACTGGGAGAAACAAGGACTACAAGACGCCAAAGAACTAATAATAAATATAAACGATGGCGACAGTGATGATGATACATCAGATTTTGAAAAAATTTCGGGGATTGAAGAATTGGAGTCAGATACTGATTCAGAATAAGTACTGTCACGCATCAGCTGGGCGCTTCGAGAGCACTTTTAAAACCTTGACCCGTTATCTATAGTCACTTTTCTGTCGTTTATTAAATTCATTAAAATTATTAATAATAAACATAAATTGTGTATCTAATAAGTACCTCCTAACTAAAAAATCCTAAAATCAATTTACCTAATAGGCATTGCTGACCTAATTTCAGAATTTTCTTTCCCCAAAATTTCTGAAATTCTAAATACCATAAGTATCGTAATGACTGAAAATAACCATTCACTTATTTTCGTTTTAGTGGTCGATACATAGCACTATGATGCAGTTAAATTCACAAACGTAGCTATTGTAATTAATTAAAATAAATAACTACGAGTAGTATATACTAGTACTCATACTATGTATCACCTGGTATTATACAGATGAAAGTGTTCCCCTCACTAGTCCTCAAGCCGCCATGTTCAGAATGCGCCTAATTGTTTTGGTAGCGTCGTAAATTCATAAGTTGTAAGCACTAGTAAGAAAAACAGCATAATGAATTAAAATGACAAGAAGTGATGTGGATCAGAACAAAGTGATTGCAGGTTTTTATTCATTATATGGATTTAGACAAGTGATTGGGGCTATTGATTGCTACATATTCTAATCCCGAAAGTCGCTGGAAACATCGGACAATACTACATAAACAGGAAAGGATACAGTTCAATAAATGTACAAGTAAGTTTTATAGCACCTAGCTAGCCCATCTCTGCCGTATAGGTACTTAGTTATTTTCTCAGATTCAATACAATCACCTCAATCTATTACTTCATATTAAAGAAGTTTTGAGTGCTTTGTTTGAGTTTGTGTCAAATGCAAATTTAGAGTTCATGGATACAGTGGCACATTGGCAAGCACACATGACTCAAGAATATTTAAAAAAAGTCGCATTAAAACAAACGTTTGAGCAGTCAGAATTTAAAGGCAGACTCTTCGGAGATTCTGGTTGTGCTTGTACTCCTTATTTATTCGCTCCTATCCTGCGTCCTAATAAACAAAAGGAAGAACGTACAGTCGGTCGCACATCTGGTGGCCCCGTTACACTGTAGAACCTTGCTTTGGAGGGAAGCAAAGGTTTCGGTGTTTACTGCGAGGACTAAATACTAAATAAGAGCATACAAAACTATATACATTGCAATGCAAAAGCAAGATCTGCTTGAGGATGTAGTATAAGGAGATGAAAATATATCAGTCACACAATTAGTAAATAACTCCGTTAGAGGAAATTCTGTTCGGGCAGCATTTATTAACGATTTTTTTTAAATAAATATACAATAATTACATGTACAAAAGATTTTATTTATCCTCAAAAACAAAACAAAAATGGTTATTTAATTAATTTTGCCCTTCACACTCGTTTCTTAATTCTAAAATTTCATTACAAATAATATTAAAAATGATTACATTTAGAACTTAGTTTTTCCACCGAGTCCGAAAACAACACGAGGAACAAGTAACAACACGTAACACATCTCTTGTCAAACTCAAAATATTGCCTGTCACTGTCATTAATGTCATCATCAAGCATTGAGTTCATTCACTAATCATTCACTGACTCACTCTTTTTACTTTTAAAATAAGTGGGTTGCCATAACGC